TAACAACGTGCATTTGGGTTGAGATTTTGAAAAGCGAGATTGAGAACATGATCCAGTCGAGCCATGCGGGAGACCTGGATGAATTTTTGGGGGTGTGTGTGGGATAGGGAAAACCACGTCGTGATCGACGAGGACGAAAGAGACGTAGAATTACATGCAAAAGCCGCAGGATCGCTTGGCAAGACGAAGGAAACCACCACGCTGCACTGCCGCGCCATCTCGCTTTTCGATGGAAGAGTATGGGGGTTGTGGTCTCCCTCTCAACGGCCGTCGTCGGGCCGTTGAATCGGGAAACGCCACAGGGCAGCGTGCGGTTGTCGTCTCGACTGAAGAAAAGCGCCTGGGACCGTTACGTGGCCGCGCTACGCTTTAGCACAGCGTGGCACGATGGGAAAAGAGTGGAGGATGCTGGGATGAGAACATTGGACGAACGAGATCGGGGGAGATGCGATGCGAGAGAAACAAATTTACTCGTCGTCGATCTCGATCTCGCCGGCGTCGATGCCCTCGATGATGGCGTGGGGGTTCTGGCCGTTGACGGTGCAGCCGACGGACTGGGCGGTGCCGAGGATCTCCTTGACGGTGCCGGCGAGCGACTTGGCGAACGACTTGAAGCGCATCTTGCGGGCGATCTCGACGATCTCCTCGAGGGCGATGTTGCCACCGTGCTTGATGTTCTTCTCCTTCTTGCGGTCGCGAGGGGGCTCCTTGAGCGCCTTGATGACGAGCGAGGAGGCCGAGGGGACGACCGAGACGGCAGCCTGACGGTTCTGGACGGTAAGCTGGACGGTGACGCGGAGACCCTTCCAGTCGCCGGTGGCCTTGGCGATGTCCTCACCGACCTTCTTGGGCGAGAGACCAAGAGGACCGATCTTGGGGGCAAGCGCCGAAGAGGCACCGACCTCACCACCGGTGGCACGGAGGTAGATGATCTGTTGGAGGAAATCGGAAAGGGTCAGCATTTAAGTCAAGAGATGCATCTTTGAGACGGCTGCATGCCTCTTTGGACACTGCGACGCTTCGAGTCGACGCTGCACAGATCCGATGATGGTGGTTCGTTTGTCGAGTAGGAGACTGGGCTGGATCGAGCGCAGCTTCGTGGGTGTTGACGGACGGACACCGAGACGGGCAGCCAGCGCGAGAGAAACTGGATCGGCAGTCGCTCGAGCTGGCTGTTCTGCCGCTTCCATGTCATCGCTCTGCGAAGTGCGAGCTGATACCGATCTCTTTCTCCACCCATGTTGCCGCATCATGCTGAAGCGACCTGTGGGCGAATTGGCTACGCCCTGCTCTGCCCACCACAGTTGAGCATATCCACAACACGTCCCGACAGTCGAACAAGACTGTCGACTTGGTCACAGTACGCTATAGTCCGACTGGAGCCGCACCAGATGCGATTGCGGCTATACTTCTTCCATCCTGGAGCCAGATGCCAAGTCGATGGCAAACTCCTTCTGTGGATGTATGCGAGCGCATCATCGCTGGGCGAAGTGGCGGACAAGGCGTAGGATGCGGCTGGGTGGTGATTCAAGATGCCCTTGTCGAGTAGGTGGCGGCGTGGCGGATCTGTGCAAGCGTGTCGGCGTGTCGAAAGAGTGCAAGAGTGCCGATGCAGCGAGGCTGGATAATCACCTTGATCTCGTTGGGGTCGATCTTGGGCGCCATTGTGAATAGGTATGGATATGGTGGTGATCTGAACGGTGAAGGCGGAAGGCTGGAATCGACACAATCACACCCACCGCCTGCACTCGCCCGCGCACACAGCTCGGACCGCACTGTCGCGCCCTGCCACCGGAAATCCGTCCTGGGCGGCTGCTGGCCCCAAGTCACATCGCTGCCAAAGCCTCGGTCTCTGCACGCTCAACCGGTCTGTGACGCTCGACATTCTGGCCAGCCTGCAGTGTGAGTGCAGCCTTGAGCCGCTCGCCGGCTCGAACGCCAGAGTGCTTGAGGGCACCTCCGGAATTTTGGAAGGCTCGGCCGAACTTTGCTTTTTGCTTCCAAAAGTCACGTGCTCAGATGGGCTCTCGAAAAATCAAGGTTGCAGCCTCAGTCAACGGAAATCGAGCTGGGGCACGCAGCTGAGGCAGGCTGCTTGGCTTGCGACTGGGCCCAAGAAGAAGACGTCGAGGTTGCGAGAGCGGGTTGAGCCAGCTGCGGCCTCAACCTGCGGAGCTGGCAAGCAAGTAAAGACACACAGACACAGACACAAAGTGAGCAGCCTGAGACGCAGCAGAGTCTGGCTCGCCTGTGGCCTGCAGCTCACAGAGGCGCTGCCAGGCCGGCTCTGCCACTGAGCGCAGGCGGGCGAGCGGACGGGCGCGCCAGTCGAGATGATCTCGGCTTCTCGTCGTCACCACCGTCCCGCTCTCATCACCACCTACTCGAACACATATTCGCCAAGATGTAAGTCGCACAAACAGCACCAGCCATATCGCAGATACAAGGAGCATCGCAGCAGTACGCAGCCACGCAGCCATCATCGTCTAAATTTCGCCAATCCGCCGCACGAGCCCGGACATGACTGCCACCAACATCGCTGTATCACATCGCATCGCATTCGCATCGCACATCTTCACCAACTATCATGGCGCATCAGCAGGGACCAGCAGAAGCATCGCAGCATCAACGGAAAGGTTCTTGTGCCGAAGATGTTTTGCTAGAGTCGGATCCAGAGCTCTGGTACGGACTTCATTGCTTTTATGGAGAGCGATCCGCCAACCCGCCCGCAGATTCATCGCCATTAGAAAGCATGCAGATCCAGCGACAAACATGCAGTCCTTGCGAAAGGGACAATCACCTTGAAGCGCCGATCTCGATTCGTGCGGAATAGTCTATCACTTGTTGCAGCCAGTCCTGGCAACAACCTCGGATCTCCACCATCGACATTGCGCCAAACCATTTCGCATTCTCAGCATGCCCTTGTCATCTGCGATTTGCGCACTCGGAATGCATTCTCTAGAACAGCAAAACTGACCCCAACCTACCCGTGACTTTGCGTCCACAGGTCTGAGTCTCTCGTCTACAAGGGCTCCCTCGCCGGCCACAAGGGCTGGATCACCGCCATTGCCACCTCGCAGGAGAACCCCGACCTCCTCCTCACCGCCTCGCGTGACCGCACCATCATCGTCTGGCAGCTGTCGCGCGATGACTCCAACTACGGCTACCCCAAGCGCATCCTCCACGGCCACAACCACTTTGTTTCGGACATTGTCATCTCGTCCGACGGCCAGTTCGCCCTCTCCGCCTCGTGGGACAAGACCCTGCGTCTCTGGGACCTGAACACCGGCACCACCACCCGCCGCTTCGTTGGCCACACCGCCGACGTCCTCTCGGTCTCCTTCTCCGCCGACAACCGCCAGATCGTCTCGGGCTCGCGCGACCGCACCATCAAGCTCTGGAACACCCTCGGCGAGTGCAAGTTCAACATCACCGACGACGGTCACTCCGAGTGGGTCAGCTGCGTCCGCTTCAGCCCCAACCCCCAGAACCCCGTCATTGTCTCCGCCGGTTGGGACAAGGTCGTCAAGGTAAGTTTCGAATCGGCTCGCCAAGCTGGCATGCGCACATCAGAGTCGGCAGACGACGTCATGGACCGCCGTCGCAGGCGGAAGGAACGGAGGAATGCGGCAGCCAGCCAAGAGCGCTGGCCTTGCGATGAAGAGTGCTTTTTTCAAATATTTGCTACTATAGAGAGCATAGCTCGATGAGAACATCCTAAAGTCACCAAGATCACTGAGCATCCACCTCGCAAAGAGATGGAGCCGCCAAGGGAACCAAGCATGGAAGGCGTCGTCGCCGCCACTCTGATCTGCGCCGAGTTTTTTTTTTT